CGGTCGTTGCTATGAAAATGGAATTGGAACTAAAATTAATAAAAAGGAAGCCTTTGAATGGTATCAAAAATCTGCTGATATGGGAAATTCTGATGGAATGAATAATGTTGGTCGTTTTTATGAAGAAGGAATCGGAGTACAAGATATTTTAAAATTTATAACGGTAATATTATGTTATATTCTAACTTTTGGATAATGCCTTGGGGTGGGATTAGGATTAGGATTGTTATTAATATCATGGTTAAGGTTATGGTCATGGTTAGGATTAATTTTAGGGATCGTGTTTGGGTACATGCTATTGACGTTGATTTTGGGTAGGCTAGATTTAGGAAATTGGATATATTTAAAGGTAGAATTAGTAGCAGCTTTTATTTTAAAAAATTTTCATGAAGAGAAAGCATTTAAATATTATCAAAAATCGGCCAATATGGATAATACTAAAGGTATGGATAATGTTGGTCGTTGTTATGAAAAAGGAATTGGAATTACAAAAAATGAAAGGAGGGCATTTGAATATTATATGAAATCAGCAAACATAATTAGTAAAAAGGTTGAAAATGTAAGCATTGAAAATTGTAAGTAAAAATAATGTAGCTATAGCAAATAAATTTTTCCTACGATCACTCAAAAGCATACAAATAAAATTATTTTTGTTCACATCGTTTCATACTAGTCTAATTAGCTATGGATTCCGTTTCAAGTTTTTTATAATCTAATCTAAAAAATAAATTCTAACTTTTATATTAGATTAGATCACGATTTAACTATTAAGTTATGGTTCGAGTACTCCATTAATGTTAAAATTTGAAAGGAGAACTCTGTTTTTTTCCAGAAAGTAATTTATCGATAATTTAGAAATAATTGTTTTTTTTTCGCGTTGCACCGATTCTGAAATATGATTGATCAGAGAAATTTTCGCTAGAGCGGTCATAATTCTGATTTTGCTGTAAAAAAATATTATGGACAATTGTCGTAGGTCTTATATTCGCATCATGCAAATGAAACATATAGAATCTATATCTAATATCGGGAATTAATATTAACTAGGCACTGAATAGAAGTGCAAATCTATAAGACTGAATTCGTCATAAATCTCCTTTATATTGTATTGATATTTTAGTTTCTACTTTAGTGTGTAATTTATATGCCATGAATATAGTCGTACAATAAATCGTATATATTTCTAAATAGCATCAATTAAAATTATTAGTAAAGGGGTTAACATTGGTTTAATACGTAAGTCACTATTTATTGAGAGTGCTGCATCGACGATATTATCCAATTAATTCCAATAGTTAACTTCGTTAGTTTTTTTTTTAAATAATTTCTATGGCTTTATATTGATCGTTGACATGTCTAATTGCGAATTTAATCGGGAGGATCAATCACTTAGTAATTTAACGAATGATGCAGTTTATCAATTTGGAGTATAATCGTATGGATAAGATAAGAAAAACATTTATTATCAATAGGGTTTCAATACTATTTCTATAACTCAATACTTGAGAAATAAAATTTTATTTCATCTCAACAAGGATATTGAAATATAACTTTATCATACAGAGATATGAGAAAACTATAGCTATATAATAAATTGATAAACGTATTTTCTTGAAACTCCACTTTTACTATCTATTTTATGACCCAAAAACTAACTAAATTTTCAATACACAAAAAAATAAACAAACAAATAAGCCTTGTACAAGACATGTATTAAAAAATCCATCATCATTGACGTCAACTAAAATACTCTAAATTTCACTAATTTTGGTAAAAAATAATTGCTCATTTCTGATTTCTCTAATCAAGAGCGTTATGAATCTAATAGTTATCACTAGTATGATATTTATAAAAAAGCTTGAAAGTTGACAAAGGGTGCTCTCAAGCGTCAATCTAGATATAATTAGCAAGTGATCGCAATAGTACTCAAGCAAAATTATATTTACATTGAGAATTCGAATATGTAATTTATGACATAATTACCGGTAAATCTTCTCTAGTGATTGTAATGGTGCTCATTTATTGCTGTTTGCATAATTTTGTGACTCCTATGATTAATTTTTTTATGGTTAAATGATTGTGATTGCGATCGCAATTGCTAAAGTTAGCCAATTTATCATGAATTTGAGTTTGTGTCAAGCTCAGATTTATGATAAATTGGCTGGCTTTAACAATCACGATCACAATCATTTACTCATAGAAAAAAATAATAATAATAGGGGTCACAAAATTATACAAACCGCAATAATATATTTCACCTTTACTACATAAGTATTGTAATAATTACACAATTTAACTTAAAGTAATAATTAATTTAAACTAAGTTTATTTATCACGACCTAGATTGGCCTTACGTACGGTGTTTACCATTCTGATTGGAATATCTGTGCTATTAATCAACTTTATAATACTCCGATAGTGAAGTGGTGGAGAAAATTAGTAAACACGTATGTACATACGTAAGTACGTACAATCGGGCAAGTAATTGAATTAATGCGTAACCTGTCACAGATTACGAATGTGTTTAGTGTTACAATTCGACTTTTTAAGTAGAAATATTATAAGCTGCCTGAAATTAACTTAGTTAACTCCTCTTACTAATCCTTTGAAAAACTTTCTCGTACGTAAGTACGCACTTTGTAACTACAGTACAACCATAAGAATGTTTAATTATGTTGACTACGAATTTCAAAGATTCATTTTTCCTGTTAAGCATAATTTTTATTTTATCGCATAATTTTCTCAGTGGACATTCATTTAAACCTGAGCCACGCGGAGGTCATATGGCAACATTGGTTAATGATAGAATTTATTTCTTTGGTGGTTCACGGCCTATACCTATGACCTCACCTGCATGGAATAAAACCCATCAATATAATCTATCAGATGAAGTGTTCTATTTAGATCTTTCTTCTTCATTTTCTGTTGATTTACCTCCATTCACAGATCTTTCTGCTACATCGAGAATGCCATTTGGCTCTGAAAGGGGAACAACAGTATTAGGAATCAGTGGTGTACGTATATTTCTTGTTGGTGGGGTGCAGCAAAATATGGAAACATTTAGTTATAACGCAACAAATTCTAGTCTTTGGATATATAATATAAATTCACAAAACTGGGACACTAATGGGCCAGGAGCTTATGGACCACCACTTTCCAGGCGCAGATCCGCTGCAACAGTTATTGATAAAAGTGGTGTAATTTATATATTTGGTGGAAGAGTGGGGCTGGATACCGGTTCAGATGTATTTATAGTACTTGATGATTTATTTACACTTGACACTACAATATTTAAATGGTCAAATATTTCACTTCCTAATCATCCATCACCGCGAAACCTTTGCACTGCAACTTTAATGCCTGATGGAAAAATTATTTACATAGGTGGAGTTACCCAATCCTCCCCTGGTCAATCTCCAACTCGTATAAGCATGAATGAGGTGAGTAATTAATTTTAAACTGGCAATACATGCATAAAATTAATAGGATAATGATAATGGATTGATTCGTATCGACGATTCGTCTCAATGAGATGAAGAATATTGTATACCTACATTTATTAATCATGATTTAAACACTTTGTCATCGCAATATAAAAATTTGATACCTTTAATTTAGATATATATTTTTGATACTATTGCTTCAGCATGGTCGCAGAAGGTATATATTTCTTCATATGAATTTTCTATTGTCTTGAAATTTTAATAAAATAAGTAATTATCTTAGTCAGCTTTAGGGGATGTTGATCCTCGTGTTGGACACACTGCTCTTCTAGGTAAATTATTATAATTATTATTATCTTTATACAAGCTTATACCTATATTCAACGTAATTATAACTAATATTGCTTACGTACTTTATTTCAAAGCACCAGATAATTACACTATTATCATATTTGGAGGAACACAGGGTTATGTGCTTAAGCAGATGACATCATATCCGGTTTTTGTATTGCTAAATGTTAAATCAGAACCTTTTCAATATTCATCTCCTCAATCTTCTGGAATAGCCCCTCCTCCATTGTCATATCATACAGCGACACTTTATCAAAATTATATGATTGTAGCATTTGGTAATGATGTATTCTCTTTCAAAATATTTATTATAGACTATTACGCAATAATGTAATACTTGTTGAAATAAAAACATATTGGGCAAATATCATAGCTTTTTTAGTCCTGATATGGCACTGATTAATATCACGAATCAAGCCATTTCCAGGTTCATATTGGAACTGATATAGTTAACGAGTTTCTGATACTGTATTTTACAAATAGCTCTACCTATCAGTTCTGATATTAACCTGGAAATGATACGATTCGAGCCATTAATGAGTGCCATATCGGAACAAAAAAAACTGATATTTGCCCTATATGCTTTATCATTTTTTTTTACATGCCTTTCATAGGAAACCACTGATGATTGACCATATTATTTAAGCCGCTTTTCAAAATTAAAATCATCATTTAAAAGATACTATTACCAAGATTAATCTATGATTGTTTTACTTAGAAAGGTTACCTAATAATATAATTACTTCCTAAATGAGTAAAACGAAATTACTCTTATGCTTTTTTAAAAAATCGGAGCATTAGAATATTTTTAATCTTTGATAATGGTATCCTATAACCTCAATATAGGTAATTTATTTTTATAAAATAGTACAGAAAAAAAAATTATTGGCAAATAGAGGATAAGCCTTCCTATGAGGTGTGTCTAAAAAGTATGAGTTGTCATTAGTACTCGACACAATCAAACAAAAATTTAACAGTCAAATACTTGTGATTAACCAATACTCACATATGTATAATGTAGTATTCGTTAGCCTGCAATTGTTTGATGTCCGACTTAATCACAAGTATTTGGCTGTTAAATTTTTGTTTGATTATTCCGAGCACTAGTTATTTAGCCAGCACTAAAATTCAAAATTTAAACGAACTTTTTTTTAAATATACAAATATAGGTAACATCACAAATGATTATGGACCTTCAACTAATACATCCGCTGATATATATATAATTAACCTTTTAAATTACACATGGGTGACGCAATTTGAAAATATTTCTTCCTCTCCTACTAATAATATTAAATTGGTCATTATTGTTTGCTCTGTTGTTGGTTCTATCGTTGTTATTGTTATTGGTATTGGTGTAATAGTATTCTTTAAATATTATAGACGCAGGTTTAATAAGATTAATAAGAAAATTAATTTTGTGGAATTAGAACAGCCAGAACAACCACACTAATTTCAATAAGAGGAAATGTTTATCCCTTAAACCGTCTAGCGGGCAAATTTGCCCGCTAAAATAATTTTTTAAAAGTTTTTTTTAAATTTTTCAAAATTTATTTAAGCCTTACCCCCTATTTATTTAAATTTATTGGTTTATCTTTAATTCTTACCAAAATCATTTAAACTGAATTACTAGAGCACGAGATATCACGATTTAATCAACCTTATTTTGATTGTTATTTGTACAAATTTGAATATCACTTTATATGAATTTAAATGTCACTTTGTACAAAATTAAATGTCAATATGAAATTGAATGCTTTTTTGTATGAAATTGATGTCAAAAAGGGTAATAAAACTCAGTTTTTTTTACTGATTATAGTAGTGATTACAAGTCATAAAACTTTGTCATGCATATAGAAACGTATAATAACAAATAGTATCTTTATCTTCTTTATGAAATAGTTATTGGATAAACTGACAACCTTATTATTTATAGAGGTTTATGAATATAAAATTTTGCATTAAAAAAATAAATAAATAATTTGCACTGTTTTTAAATTAGAATATTTTATGTCATACATGGATGTTTACATCCAGGGTGCCATTATATATCAGGCCTAAGATAGGGTTAGAATTAGTTGGCCTAAATTATACCATAATCCTTGCGTTAATGTCGATCAGTTAATGCTGGCCAAAAAATCGACATCTGGGCAAGAATGAATCTGAGACATAACATATATACTAAGCAAAAATGTATGGAACAACCCCCCAGAACCTTGTGTAATCTAAAATTTAGACTATCGTATATAGCCTGTCTTGGTCCCCTAACCTTAAGTTTTAGTAAATCGGGAGTGGATACAAAAGTTATTAAGATAAATGATTTTTATTGCTGTTTTTTGTAACACAAAGCAATTCTATAAAAATACAGCCATTTAGAAAATCTGGAGCATTAGTACATTATTGTGATTGGATTAAATTCATGACACAAATAAAGATATTTAATAAAAGACAACACAATTATGGAAACTAACGCTACTATTGCACGACATAAATGATATGATGTATACGTACGTACATGCATACCAAAAGATTTCTTCACGAATTAAACAAGAAATGAGAAGATCAAACACTCTCAGAAAATGGTTCGAAAAAACTTTAAAAGACAATGATATCATTAAATTTGAATACTCTGTATATGAAAATATTGAAATAATTGAAAAAGGTAAGTTTTTCCTATTGGTTTATAGTTTATAACACAATCTAAGAAAGTTATGTCATTAAAATGGCGTAAAGGTGGATTTGGTACAGTTTATTCGGCAGTTTCTAATGGAAAAAAGATCGCATTGAAAAGTCTTAACAGTGATGAAATAAATAAAGAAGTGTCCAAAGAATTTATTAAAGAGGTGATGCATTAATTCGTTGTTTTCCAATGTCTAGTCTACATTATCTGAACCTAATATTATTTACAGCTTAAACAATTACTTGCTATTAACACTCATCCTAACATCAATAGATTTCATGGAATTACACAAGGTATTGTAATAACACATCTGTATGCTAAAATGAATAAAATTTTTTTAATAATTTTTTCACCATGATTTAATTAGATCCTGAAACAAATAAATACATGTTAGTTCTACAATTTGCCAGCGGAGGGAACTTGCGGCAATGTTTACAAAAAAAATGGCACGAGGGCATTTTCAAAATTTCATTTGATGAAATTATCCAGATTGCAAAACAAATTACCAACGGGTTAGGTCATTTGCACAAAAATAATATAATTCATTGTGATTTGGTAAGTTTTAATTGATTGTTATCAAATTTCAAAAATAATTCTCCTTTCCGAAATCATAAATTAATATTTTAATAATTTGTAAAGCATTCTAAAAATATCTTAATAAATGATGATAAATTTTTAATTGCGGATTTTGGGTTATCAAGAAAACTAGATGATACTTACCATTCTTCGGCTTCAATTTTAAAAGGCATGCCTGCGTATCTTGATCCACATTTTCATCACGAACCCGGGAAAAGACCAGATGAAAAATCAGACATCTACAGTTTAGGAGTAATACTTTGGGAGCTTACAAGCGGGGTTCCCCCATTCGCAAGTGCTTTTAATGGATTCGCTATACTTGTTCAAACATTGAAGGGTTATCGAGAACAGACAATTCCCGGTACGCCAACCGATTACGCTAAACTTTATAAGAAATGTTGGAATGCTGAACCAGAGAAACGTCCAACAATACGTGAAATTCTTGATAACCTTAATTTAATATCAAAAAGAAACACAACACAGTTTATTATAAATCGCAACAGAATTCTTAAACCTGAATTAGATGTAACAATAAACGAACTATCTCAAATTTACAAAAACGTGAATACTGATGATGATGATTTAACAAAATTGTTATTAAAAGAAGCATCTGTACAGAAACTTAGAAGACCATCTCAACCAAGTTCAAAAACCTCGGAAAATTCTATAACAAGAACATCGAATGAAACATCTGGTCAAAGAACTAGAGAACTGTCTCGCCTTAGTTCGAGGAGTTCTGGAGATTCTTTGACCAAATCATTAAAAGAGTTCTTCTTTCGGCGAAAACTAGATAGTGCTGACGAATTGAAATCTCAAGGGCAAATTTATTACATGTCAGGGAACTATGTTGAATCTCTTGAATACTTAAATAATTCGTTAAGTATTAATCCAAATGATGCCGATTCATTGAGATTCCGAGGAGAAGCTTATTTCAAGCTAAAAAAATACCAAAAGTCGCTTGCAGATTTTAATAGATCAATAGAACTTGAACCAAATAATGCAGTTGCACTAAGATCACGAGGAAAAACATATTATGTGATGAATTATTACGAAGAATCTCTTACTGATTTAACTAAATCTTTAGAAATTGATTCAGATAATGCAATTGCGTTAAGAACACGAGGACAAACGTATTACATGTTAACTCACTACGAAGAATCTCTCGCTGATTTAACTAAATCTCTAGAAATTGATTTAGATAACGTAATTGCATTAAGATCTCGAGGGCAAACGTATTACATGCTAAAGCACTATGAAGAATCTTGTGCAGATTTAGCTAAATCATTAGAAATTGATCCAAAAAATTCAATTGCACAAAGATTCCTCGGTCTGTCTTATTTTGAGTTAAAAAAATATGAAGACTCTTTGAAAGTTTTAGCTAAATCATTAAACATTGATCCTAAAAATGCAATTACTTTAAGATTTCTAGGAAAATCCCATTTTAAGCTGGGAAACTATAAAGAGTCTCTTGAATATTTAACGAAATCACTGAACTTTGATTCAAAAAATATTGACGCACTAAGAACCCGAGGACAGGCACATTTAATGTGTGGAGATTGTAATAATTCTTTTAAAGATTTAAATAGTGCACTAAAAATTAACTCAAGCGATGCAGAGTCCCTACGGGCCAGAGGAAAAGCCTATTATGTTTCAGGAAAATATAACGAAGCGCTTAGAGATTTAAATGAATCATTAATAACAGAACCAAATCATCCGTTTGCACTAAGAACACGAGGAGAAACATATTATATGCTGAAGTTTTACAATAAGTCTCTTAATGACTTAACTAAATCGTTAGAGTCTGAACCAGATAACAAATTTGCGCTAAAGTCTCGAGGACAAACATATTATGCTCTTGAGTGCTACGAAAAATCTCTTATAGATTTAAATAAATCAATTAAAATTGATCCAGATAATGCAGCTACACTAAGACTTCGAGGAGAAGCATATTACATGCTAGAGCGATATAATGAATCACTTGCAGATCTAACTAGATCTTTAGAAATTGATCTAGATAATGCAGTTGCACTAAGATTTCGAGGACAGATATATTATAAATTAGGACGCTATGACGAATCTATTATATATTTAACAGAATCACTGAGGTTTGATCCTAAAAATGCAATTACATTAAGATTTCTAGGGGAATCTTATTTTAAGCAAGAGAAATATAAGGAATCTTCAGAAATATTGTCCAAATCACTAAAATTTTGTTCTAAAAACGAAGTTACATTAGAATATTTAGGAAGATCCCTTTATAAATTAGGTAACTATGAAGAGGCTATTGAAGTTTTAACGAAATCATTAAACATTGAACCAGAAAATAATGATGCGCTAAGAGCGCGAGGCCAGGCATATTACATGATTGGAAATTACGTTGATTCCATTAAAGATTTAGAAAAGGCGTTAGAAATTGATCCAGATGATGCGGAGTCCTTAAGGGCCAGAGGAAAAGCCCATTATAGTTTAGAAAATTATAACGAATCACTTAAAGATTTAACGAAATCATTAGAAATAAAATCAAATCATCCATTCGCATTAAAATCCCGTGGGAAAACATATTATATGTTAAATCGTTATGAAGAATCACTTGCAGATCTAGTTAAATATCTAGAAATGGAACCGAACGATCCGAATAGAGCAGTTACACTAAGGTTTTGTGGAGAAGCATGTTTTATGTTAAAACGTTATAATGAAACCCCCATGTATTTAACTAAATCACTTGAACTTGAACCTAAAAATGCGGATACCTTAAAAATTCTAGGTCAAACATATTTTGAGCTAAAAAGATATAAAGAATCTTCAGAAATCCATACTAAATTACTAAAAATTGATTCCAAAAATGTAGTCGCGTTAGAACTTCTCGGGAGATCATATTATAAAATGGGAAGCTATAATAAATCTATTGATATCTTAACAAAATTATTAAACAATGAATCAGGAAATAATAATGCATTAAGAACTCGAGGACAAGCATATTATATGCTTGGAAATTATAGTAATTGCCTTAAAGATTTAGATATAGCGTTGGAAAATAATTCAAATGATTCAGAGGCTTTAAGAGCCCGAGGAAAAGCCTATTATAATTTAGAAAAATATAATGAATCACTTAAAGATTTAACAGAATCATTAAGAATAGAGCAAGGACACCCTTTTGCACTAAGATCACGCGGGCAAACACATTTTATGTTAAATCATTATGAAGAATCCATTGCAGATTTAAATAAATCATTGGAACTTGAACCAGATAATTTAGAAGCACTAAGATTTCGGGCGAAATCATATTCTAAACTAGGTCGCAACGAGGAATTACAGGCTGATTTGGACAAAATATTATCTATAGAAGAACAAAAAAGAAAAGATGATTCTCTCAATAAATTGAGAAAATCATTGAATATAGATAATACAGAATCATTGAAAACATGAAAACGATACCTGATACAAAAAAACTTTGTTTATGGGGACAAATATTTATGATCTGAAATTTTCAAATTTTATTATTTATTTAAATTACTGTAAAATATATTGAGATCGTTTTATTGAAGGTAAAATGATGCTATATTAATATTTATTATATACATATATTTTTATAATCAAGTACATTTTCTTTTCTGCTAGCGACAGTTCGATTTATTATATTCATTCAGTAACATTTACTATAGTACTTTAATTTACAATATATCGAATATATTTGATACGTTACCCTTGTAATATAAATCTATGTATAGTAATTAATAAAAAAAAAGTGTACATAAATCCAGCCTGCAATAAAAAGTAACACACTCGATTTACTAATAATTTTAATGTTTTAGACACAATAATTACGAATTGACGGTTGTTATAAATTTAGGAAGTTTGTTATAAAGTTAAAAAAGGATGTATTCAAATTTAATGTAAGCATTCCTGAATAACGTGACACTTTTATTGGCCAATTAGAGAATAAGATTAAAGAAAAATTCTATGCAAAAATTTTGGTACAATAACCCTAACTGAGATGTTGAATTTTGATGTAATTTGGTTTAACTGTTTTTCCGAATAGTTGTGTAACCAATTCAATGGTAACTTAGCAATTTGATTGGTTAAACCATTCAGTTCGGATCCGTAATTGTTTTAATTTACCAAAATTAGGGGAACAGGGGTGAACGTCCCGAGTGCCCCGAGTTTGTAGATCGTTACACAATTAATTAAAGATTTTTTTTTATACGTT